CAGCTTCTTGAGAGTCTGGTCAATGATCCACTGGGGAAGCTTCAGTGTTGTTGATGGTAGAATGCCAGTAGCGATATGAACGGGTTGATAAGGGTCGACGATAGCGCCGAGAACAACAGTCGAAGGATGGTTCCAGATGCCGCGATGATAAGCTGCAGCTGCGTCGTATTCTTTGGCGTATTCTTTGGAAGGATCAGGGATGCACTTGGAGGGATCGACGTGCATAGGTGAGAGGTACACTTTGCTCGAGCTGGGCGAGGCGAACGAGTCTGGTTTCTGGTTGTCGCCTGCAACGATATTACGTCCTGGATAACCGAACTCGGTGTACACACAATTGATATCGGGGACTTTGTCTGTGACGCGGTCCTGAGGCTGTGGAATGGGAGCGGGCTCGACTGGCGGAGATGGCTCTGGCGATGGAGGAAAGTAGCCGATGAGTCCATCGCGCAGATTTGACTTGTCGCCAAGAAGGACCTCAAATTTGTACTCATCGAGCTTGATCTCTTCCTTCTTCAACAAATCTTGATAGCTCTGCGACTGCATCACAGGCGTAGCAAGCTCAAGGTTCATGCCGATATTGACAAGCGCAAGCGGGCGTCCCACCATATTGAGCATCTGCGCATCACCAGTCAAAGGGTCGTTGTAAATATTTTGGCACGCATCAGCAAGCATTGCCCATAGACCAACGAGGAACTTGGCGTCAGACATGCGCTTCATGAGCTGTTGCAATTGCGACGACTCATTGGCTGCTTCAGACATGTCACCCTCAGCGTAGTGAACCTGCCAATATGCCTTGCCGTGAATATTATCCGGCACCAGGGCCTCGCCCATACTCTCACCAGCAGCGTTGTATACTTGAATGCCCATGGTGCGAAAGTCAAGCATAAGCCAGCCCCAGACAGGATCCTCGTACTCTGTGGTAGGGCGCCAGACATGATGTCTCTGACCGATTCCTGATTCAAAATCACCACTAAAGAACTGCGTTGTCTCGTGATGCGCACCAACATCAGCGGAGTTCACCACGAATTGAACGTTGAGTCTCGCGTCTTGATTGATCCGATGGCCGAGCTGGAAGAACTGCGAGCAGTGCTCCTTGTCTAGTTCCACACTGTTGGCAAAGCCTCCACCCTCTGCTTCGTTCGGCTGACACGCGATTGTGCGACCGAGGCAGGGATATAGAGGCTTGGTCTTGTTGATAATGTCTGGTGTGTGGATCGGTGAGACGACCTGGCCGAATTTATCGACGATGTTGAACTTTGTGAAGCGTGCCTGGCCGTGGGTAACAGGCTTGAAGTCCCGCTCTGCCTTATCGATGGAACAAACGTCTTCCCCGAATGGAGTGACATCGTGACCATTTTGCGACTCCAGTAATGCTTTGAGAAGTGATTTCTCTTTCTCGTTGCGTGGAGGATGCGTCTCGGATTCGTATGGGGAAACGTGAATTCCACCATGAAGAGTCAGAAGTTGATCCGTGAAACCGTCAAGATTTCCGGATACGAGATTAAGGCTCTTCAGTGCCTTTTCTAGCTGAGAAAGAATCTTAGTCTTTCCACCTGCTAGACCTGCCTTCTCGAGAGACTCGTCATCTAGCTTGTCAAGCAGCTGTTGTGCCAGCGTTGTCATCGCCCACTCAGCATTGGGGCGCAGAATGCTTCGTCCTGAGACAGTGCGTTTGTGAAGGTCCATCATGTCAAAGGATGAGATGTTGACACCCGGTGCAATTCTGTAGTCTGCTGTGCCATCGCTCAACCTCTGCAATGTCCAGAATCGCTTAGGTAGATGGTAGTACTCAACCTCCCACTCTAAGAATAGCACACGACATGGCTGTGTATCATTCCAGTGAGTATCTGCCTTGTTGTAGTAAGCAGGTCTGGGCTCCTTCATCTTCTCTGGATCGCCGATGCTCAAAGCATATGCCCACTCTTGCATCAGCGCATCAACTCCGACACGGACCCAGCCTGGCGCCGTATAATTGAGAGCGTTAAGGCTGTCCATAGACTCAAACAGGGCTGGAAGTCGCATGAGGCCCCTGTTCGACTTTTGCGCATCTACGATCTTCTTCACCAATTCTGGGTTCTGGAAGAAGAGCTTCATGCCGTGGACCATGCACAGTTGATTATTCGCATCGCCTGGCTTGGCTCCGACCAGTTCTTTCAGCCATTCCTGTACCACCTTTGCTCCTTGTTGGCCAGTAAACGGCAGTGAGCTCAGCGGCCTAGCCTCATTGTTCTTCTTGACGAGAAACTCTGAAGGCCACGCTGTGCCGAGTCCGCCCACGACGATGGAAGGAGACGTACGGCTGAAGAACTCTGATCGAGCAGTGGCGTGCATCTTTTCAGGATCGGCAGGCACTTGGTCTTGGTTATACCTGATGCGCAATTCTCTGACTGTCTTCAAGGCTGCTAGATCATCGCGGATTCTCTTGCTGCATTCCGCGCGAATTGAAGGTTCTGCCCATCGACCTCCTGGTACACGGGCCCGACGCTTCCACCACTCGCAGAAGAGACGATGGCGAAGATATCCTTCCTGGCGGTCTAGAGCATCGATATATGCTTGGAACCTATCCGCTTTGAGCAAGTCTCTCATTTCGTTCGGGGTAGGAACATGCAGTTCCTTCATTTTGTTGGGATTGATGGGCTGGTCGTTTCCATCCGCGGAGACCTTGTCATTATTGAAGCGCCATTTCTTGCCTCCGTCTGTAGGTTTGAAGCCTGCTCTGAGGTTCTGCGGTACATGAGAGTCGAGAAGTCCACCTTGACCGGATTGTCCGATTGCCATCTTCATTTCGTCTATGAGCGCAATCCAGTCGTTGTTGCTCCAGCGCTTGGGCTCCAGACTGTGATTGGCTGCTGTCTTTTCCACAGGAGTTGCATCCTCTGGGAGAGCATGGAGATAAGCCTCGAGCGCTTCCAGCGAGTCTGATCCCATAGCTATGGGCTGTTTATCGCTCACATTCCTGGCGATGTTGAGGGCCTCTGAGTTTTCGGGCGCTTTGTCTCTTGTCCACTTGACATTGTACATGGCACCGTGTGTAATAGACTTCTTCTCGTCATGCTGCGAATGAAACGTTGAATGATAGCCAAAGACAGCGTACGAGATAGTCGCAGACGCTGGCTGAATGATCTTTCCTGCATTATCTTTCCAGCTGACATCGTCGTGAATGGAGAAGATGTTTGAGTTGTGATGCTGAAAGTCTGGGAACAGGGGATTGGCAGAGTCCAGCAATGCTAACGGCGAGTGGTAGAGGCCATTGGGATCGGGGTCATTCCAATCATCGTCGAACTTGCGCCTCATACCCATAAACACGTCGACCTGCTTTTCCACTGACACTTTCTGGTCGATGAATGGAGAAGCCTCGGTCTCGACATCGAAAGTATCGTCTGTGGAAGGGTCAAAGTGTCCGCCGAAATGGCGAATGCGATTGCTCTCAACTATGAAGGCCGCCAACGCAGGAGCGCCGGGTTCAGAAGCTTCAGTGATGCATCTGAAGACTATCCAACGATCTGGCACATGTGTTTGCTGTCGCTAGTCAGCCTTTCATTCTGTTTTGGTGCCGCATTTCGGTGCACTTACTGCGACATCTCCCGCCTTTTCATCATCAGTATCCTTCGTTTTTCCATTACGGAAATGCTGCGGCAGCGTCCAATGTAGATAGACGCCCAATCGCTCATTGCGCAACATGTGATCATAGTTATTTCGATCATCCTTATCAATTTCCGGTGTTTGCGTGATATCCGCAATGCGCGAGTTTGAGTACCATGGATACGCTCCATCAATGTCAACATTGGGAATCGCATCTGGCGCTGAGAACTCCCCAGCCAGAAATGAGGAGTTGTCGGGCTTATTTAGTGGCGCGATAAAGTGCTCTTTGTTAAAGATGTGCTTATTCAGAATGAAGGCATCAAGGTTCATGGACCAGCAGTCGATGTCTGTGGCCTTCTTGACGGGTTTCTGTGGTTTGGGAGCAGATGGCGTCTCCAAGTAAATTGGAGTTTCTTGCTCATCTTCTGACACATCTGCTGGGTCGACTGCCGGAGGTTTAGAAGCCATCGTCGTTGTCATTGAGAAACTATGTGCCAACAAACTTGATGGAGAAGGGACGGTGATTTGGTCGTATGTTGGCGATAGTGAAGATGGTCGTTATGGTCAATGGCGAGTAATCAACCTCAAGCTTCCACACCCATTACTGGCAATTAGATGCGCAGCACAAGATAACCTGCCAGTTCTAGCCATCGCTAGTATCTAATAGCACGGGAGCAATACTCGTAAGATGCTAGCTAGGGTTCATTCAGCTTCCGATACGCGACTGAGACACAGAGGCCGAGGCCCAGTTACCAACCACTCTTTCAGGGTCCAGTCCCCAAGTCGTCGGACAGTGCGATACACACGGTATACTTGTCACCCCCAGCGGAACATTTCCCCCAGAGGTCTACGGGAAGAACGGCAACACACCACCAAATGCTTGGTTAGCGTCTCCCTATTACCCCTTATAGCGGCTGGCTGAACGGCCACTAGCGGCCCGGGAGCTGGGACGCTCGCTAAGAAACGCCTAGTCCCAAGCGCTAGCTCAGGGCGTGTGCATCGATTTGCCTCTCGCTCAACCGAAACGGAAACGCCGTATCCGCTCAAGTTCTAAACGGCAAGTTAGCAAGCGCGTGATTCACTATTTCGATAGTTTTGATGCAGGTCTCACGTTCTAGGGATATCACCTATATTCCGCTTGACAGGGATAGATGCAGTGAACATGGGCTTGAGTCTAGACACAAATCGGCTTTGGAGAATCACACATTCTATTGCGAGATTGGCACCATGGTGAAGTTGATTGCCATTGACAGGTCTGCTTCGTGTAAGCTCTGGGAATCCTGTGTTGTGAAGCCTTCATACTCATCTCCATCCAAGGCACATCAATCAATCCTGCATTTGAGCTTGGCCAACAGGCCTTCATTGTACACTTTACTGCCCTTTGCAGTATCATCATATTTCTCACTTGAAGTGGCAGTATGTCTAGTACTAAGCAAATCGCGACGGCGTCGTCCAGCAGTTCAACTGCTTACGACAACGCCGATGCGAAAGCTCGCCTCTATGCCTATGAAATCCCTCCAATGCCCCCGGGCGAATATGAGATCATCACAACTCAAGAAGTCAAATCTGGCAATGACACTGAGAAACTGGTATCAACACAACCCGTCACAGTCAAGGCGTGTCAACCATACGCCATACCACCAGAGCTCGTTCACTCATTCTATCCGCCAAATCTGGGCACCGTGAGCGCAACAACGCTTCCTCACGTCGTTCTCAAAGGCGCGACACCTTGGGAACGATCGCAAACACATACTCCGGGCACTGCTCCAACGCCATGGGTTGCTCTGCTTCTTTTTACAGATGAGGATCTGTGTGTGCCTCCGGAGGTGACCAGCGCTGCCAAACCCTCTGGTACTCGATCATTCACACTTCCCTTGAGCCTATTCAACAGCAGTCGCTCAAAGTGGTGTCATAAGAATGACTATTCCGACACTGATGTGCCGGTCAAGGGTGATGGAACACCAGCGACTGCTGACTTCCTGTTTGTCAAGAGCAGCGCGTTCAAGATGTATTTTGAGCGTCAAGACTCAGCTGGCAAGACTGAACAACAGGGAGGGGCAGACTTGGATCGCTATAAACTCCTCACGTACATCACAGACAGCGGTGTCAAGGATGAAAGTGGTCATGTTACGAATAAACTCAGCACGCTCATTGGCCATCGGGCGAGGCCATATATTTTGGAAGATCAGACAATCAAAGTGTATGCGCACATCGTCTCAATTGAGACCTTGGATGGTCGCATCGACTGGAAAGCTGCAAGCCAGGCCTCAGCAACAGTCGCTCTTGTCTCTCTGTTTTCCTGGACTTTCAACTGGGAGAAGCACACTGAGAAACTTGAGATGTTCGAAAATCTCGCTGATCCGAAGAGCATTCGCCCGCTGGCGATCAAACTTCCGCCAACGGATCCCAACAAACCAGACGACCCCTCGGCTGCGTGGGTTCGGCGAAGGGTCACAGAAGGGTACACCATTGTACGACACCGCGACATTGCCGGCGAATCGTCCATGGCGCTGTACCGAGGACCTCTTCTTCCAAGTTTATCGCGTAAAGCGCGCATCAAGCCAAGCGTCCATGGAACCGATCTGCAAATCATCGACACATCAGCCAGAATTCTTGATATCTCGTACAATACGGCCTGGGAGCTGGGTCGAACACTGGCAGGTCGCGATGCCAAGTTCTCAACGGCCATTGCCTACCTCCGCCGAAAGCTGTGCATGAAGGCCGTAACGAAGTCCAAGGCCTCAGGGAACAATGCCGAGAAGGTTAAGGACGCAGAGAATGAGCAACCACAGCTCATGCACAAGGCGGACGCCGTTGTTGATAGCGCACTATCTAAACTTAATGGGCTTTTCAAGGGCTCTGTGGCGGCAAAGATGCAGGGCCTGCCGAGAGATGGAGATTTGAGATGGCAGATCGCTTCTCCTCCAGCAACATCCATGGCGGCAGCGCCAGGCGTGATGACCTTTGAGAAACTGCGCAGACATCTTGAGAGTGCAGCGAAGCCCTGGCTTGAAGATAGGACTCTGGAACTATGCCAGGCTACGCCCGTCGTTTCCTCAATCCCTCAGTTGGGTCTCGTGTTCAATTGGCTCATCGATAATCTCATGTCTTTGAAGCTAGTCCCAGCGACGTATCTTTTCCCCGACCCTGCTGTCCTTGCGAAAGAGAGCATCAACTGCTTTCTCATGGATGATATTTGGATTGACGCCCTTGTCGACGGCGCTATGAGTCTTGCCAACACTATGGGAGGAGGCAGTGATCCTGTCCGCGATCTTATTCGCTGGGCTTTCAACCTGTATCTTGAAAGGGCACCAGCAGATCGTGTGCAAATCGGTGGCTCAGGCTTCATCGTCCGGAGTGGTATCGTGGAATCATTCCCCGATCTCGAGATGACCATTACTACCAAACTTCCAGGATCAGATGAAGACACTCCTCTGAACTGCGCGTATCGAACACGCAACGAGGACATGATTCTCTGCCTCGTGGCTCGGGGTAAGGATCAGAAATTGGTAGACTACACCGTCAAGCTCAAGCTACCACCACACCAACAGCGATACAATGTGGGATCCGTCAAAAAAGATTCGATGAAGTTTACCTGCGAGATGAAGCCATTCTTGAAGATGACGCAGAAGTTCAAGGACGCTTTGCGAAAAGATGAAGTAGAGAATGACATCGAGTGGAGCAGGACTGCTGTTATCAGTCCTCCTGATTTCCCCTTCAAACCCATCTGGAACCACGACACTGGTGTCCTCACTCCTCACCTCTTGGTTAATATCATGGATCACTTTATTGATCAAAACAAAGACCGTGTCCCCTGGAATAGGCCAGCACCAGACTCGAAAGTGGTGTATATCGCGACGCAGTTGCTGGACCGCGATCACTGCGTCAAACTCAACTTCAATGTGACCGCTGGCAAAGAGAGCAAACCTCGAGTCATCTTCCCTGAACAGCCGGATCCAGAAGAAGATAATCGCGAACCGGTAACCGAGCATCTACCTGAGAGTACAGAAGCCAAGATGAAGTCGTGGTTCAAAAAGCTGGCCTTTTCTCAAGACTCCCCAGGCCGCAACATACCACCGCAGTCCAACACACCTCAAAACATCGTCTTCTCCATCAAAGCTATCCCTACGCTCAAGAACAACGTCCCAGCAGGCACAGAAGTGTTTGCCATCGAAGTCACAATCCCCATCGGCGAAGATCCATCCCATCTTCTCGACCATCTAGCACCTTTACCTACTGTGCGCGCCATTGGGCCGAGACAACAGTGGATCGCGGCTACGACACATAGACCGGCTACGAAAGAGTCGCCTGCTGAGATGGTGGTTCATTTGAAGCCCCGTGGGACAGCTGGAGGGGGCGCTACGTTCGCGGAGGGGTTGGATGCCAGTTTCATGCTTATGAGGGCGACGGTCAATGGTGTTGTGGGTAATGATGTTGAGATTAAGACAAAGGAGGTTTATGGGAGGTGGGAGAAGGGTAAGAAGGCGGATGGTAACGAAGTTTCTGTAGTAGCTACGACCGAAGTTATGGATAAATGGACGCTGCGTAAGGAATAATCAGGAGGATTCTGTACATATTCAATATTTATCTCCAGTATTGCTGTCTCAATTGGGATGTATTGTCACCTACAGATTGTGAAATTACATTGTTCCGAATTTGCTTTATGGGTGCTTCACAACATCCGCGTGCTATATCCTTGCGACATACTCACAAATTGTTCACTTAGTAGTACAATACAACTATGCATTAAAAGTTTGCAAGGAGCTCTGCCTTGAATATTTTCTTAGAGACTCCAGCCTCTCTACTCACCTAGGTAGCTGTTCATTCAGCATAGAATAGAATGGAACTCCCATCTATTCTCGAGAGGCAGCCTTAGGGTAAATGGCCCAGCCAAAATCAGCTCCCAATTGGTCCTGCACATTCCCACAGGGCACTTACACAAACAGTCTAGGGCATTACACCCCTGTAAACTCAATGGGTCTCGACGCCAAACCCCTAAAAGCTTGTCTTGCACACCCCGGAGAAATGGTTCGAGACCCTGCATGCAGCTAAAGCTCAGCTCCCCTCTTGCCATCCCAAAATGGCATTCCCCTCCAACTGGAATTTGCTCTTTTCGATAGTTTCGTTTTATCTAAGACGAAAGAAGAGCAGACTAACCTCAATGCTCGTTTACGCCACCTATCACGTAGCTCCATTGAGGGCCGTACCGTCGCCCACTTCGCGAGAACGCCTCGACTCGACGCATGAACCAACAGCCGATGCTATACGCAAGCGCCCGCTTCCGTAGACTATCGATTCACGCAATGACTTATCGAACAGCGGAAACTCCGGTCCTACAATTGGAGCTAGTTGCTGCATGTCTCGAGTAATATGTGATGGCTGGAAGAAAGCTGCATACGCCGATTGGGGAGCATTGGCTCACTTTCATCTCAGCAATTGGAACCTTGAATCTGTTCAAGTGACTTACACGAGCAGGGATAGAGAAGGGGCGAAGTTGGTGTTCTAGGCCATGGCTGAAGACTGCATCCGAAATAGCTTGCAGTCCGGGGTTGTCCAGCTTTGATCGGCGTGAACTCTGCTCGGCCTATGTGTGCGATTTAGCATCTGGCCGTTCATCTCACGCAGCTCCCCAAGTGACAGACCTTGGCACTGATACAGTCTTTCTCTAATCACAATCTTTGTTCATAGCAAACGAAGCTCATCTCGAGCATCGCAGCTTTGACAGAGATACAATGGCCCACCACATTCATGGCAGACGATCGGCCAGCGACAAATGGCCGCCGTCACTGCCAGATCAGCAAGAAACTCTGGTAGACAAAACATTTGTGTTCAGCGCTGATGAGCTTATTGCTTCGACGTTAGTTGGGCGAGGCAGCTTGCTCAACAAGCCTGGCAGGCTAGTTACGCTCAAAACTCGTGTAAGTGAACTCATCTCAAAGTCGCAAGCATAAGTTAATTGAAGATGGTTAGTCGATAACTTCAAAGAGCTCAGACTCTGATGAAAATACAAGCGCAGAAGCTGCTGGCGGCATCAGAGTCGTGAGCACTCCTGGTCGTTTCTTTGGTGAAAGGGACTGGACACGCTCTACAGTCAAGCGTAAACAGGATCATGTCTCGTTAGATGCCGATTTTGATGATCATTCTGGGCATAATCATCGTCAGCGCCACAGACATCGTCAAGTCAAGAAATGGCTAGAAGATAATGAGCCTCGTGAGGACGTTCCGCATCGTGCCAAACCTGGTAGACGATCACTCGGCCATGGACGGCCAGTGATTGGAAGAGTTGGCGACGTTGACAAACGACCTCGAGCTCCTTCTGGAGGCTCTCGCTACGCTTCCTCTGGTACACAGACAGCCGGTAGATCAGCATCGCCACCTGCTGCCGATAGACCTGTACTTCCTGGGCAGACTGGAGGTGATAAGTCGGGGGGAATTGGCTCTGGTGGTCCATCGACCAGCTTGCCCACCACAGCTCCAACACCAGGAAGCGGGCAGGCACCAAGCGGGTTATTGCCTCCATTCTCGGCAGTAGATCCAAGATTGACAAATCCTTCTGCTGGCCCTGTGGCTCCAGGTACTATTGCTGGACCTGGGACTGGAGTCATTCCTGCCCCCAAGCCTGACGTTCCCGTTCAATCAGGACCGGGTCTTCAGCAGCCTAAACATGCTGGAGATGTCGGGACTTCACCTGCAGCTCCTCCAGCATCGAGTGGTCAAAACATCCCACCACCAGCCTCAGCCCCAGGTGGCGCAACTGTTCAGCAACCTACACATGCGGGAGATGTTGCAACTCTCCCTGTGACTGCGCCAGTATCAAGTGAGCCAAAGGTCCTGCCACCACTTTCAGCTCCTGCTGGGCCAGCCGTGACACCCGTTACAAACCCAGCTACGAGCGCACCGAGCTTCCCTTCCCCTCCGCAACAGCTTATACCCCTCAAAGACCAATACATGCTCGCAGCAACGGGTCAGACAACTCAAATACGCAGTGCGACACCAGGTATCAGCGCCGGTACTGTCCCGTCTGATCACATCGTCTTCTCAACCCCAGACACCGGCACTCAAGCGTTTCTGACTTCGTCAGGACCCATACTCTTTGAGACTTCACTGGAAGCAATTAAGACCAACATAACCGAGTTCCCACTCTCGCTGAGTGATCCTCTGCGACGAGACTTTGGCGCAGCTTGGAAACTTGACGAAAATGCATCTTACCTTCAGAGTGCTGATGTCAACTTGAAATTTGGCTCGGATGGCAAATCTGTCGAAATGACCGGCCTCAAGGTCAAGGTATCCAAAGATGCAAAAAGCGTGCCGCTTGTGTTCTCTACTGATGCGAAAGTACTCAATGAAGAGTTTGAGACTGGGTTCTCCCACGCATCAAAAGATGCCAAGATTACCACGCTTACTGGCATTGATCGCTACCCTGGCCATCTCCTCCTTGGGTTGGAGACAAGCTCTGCCAACTGTGGATTCGAGAACCTTGCCGATCTTTGCGCAGTCGCTCACATAAACCCCAAGGCCTGGCTCAAGACATTGCTTAAAATGACGAAGATCACCTTTGGTGGCTTAGCTGGTACTCCAGCTCGCAATGCAATGTGGTATATCCCTGGTTCAGGGTCTGGATGCTGTATCCGTCTCGAAGCCTCTCTCGACCTCAAAGAAGGAATAGTCGATAAGTTGAACAAATATCTCTCTGGCTGGAACGACCACATCCCTCCGATGTCTGTCATTGCTAAGAGGACTGTGTCTCCATCATCTGGTCCGTGGGGAGATGCCTTCACTATCGGAGAGCTTACCATCGCTGCAGAGCCAGACATCAAGGGCGAGAAGCGCGCGATGGGTATGTATGTGTCGATCGGAGAAGATCACATAAATGTCTTCTTCGTGTGCTACTCCAAAGCGCTTCAGTGGACAGCTCTTAAGGACTGGATTAAGAAGACCTGTACTGAAGTGGGCAAAGCAATTGACGATTTGGAGAAGATTATTTCCAATACGGGGCATGGATCCAAGACTCAGAACGCAAGTACTTCTCACATATACTGGAGAAGAGTGACCGTCACACTTCAGAACAACCCGGCTGGTGGTACAACTTTGGCCGGCATGCGCTTGGAGCTCGAAGCTTCGATGCAAGTACTTGTACCAAAGGACAAGCATTCAGTCTTCACTATGGAGTTCACCTGGACCAAGGGCACTGGCGTGTTTTCAGGCGAGTGCGAGTTCAGCGGTGTTGGAAATGTAATGGGACAGGGCAACCCTCCACTGCAGTACTATCTTGACTACGAGCGATGGGACAAATTCTCTTATCTTGACCCATCAGAGCCATACATGTCGCTACGCTACCTCGACAGTAATTTCGTGCAGAACCTACCGTTCGGCGTTCCCACAGAGATTACCGAGGCCGATCTCTATGTCTCTAATGAGTCTCTGCGCGTCAGTGGTCGCCTTGAAGCTTTGATCGGAAAGCCGACCGAAACTTCAGTCATCTCAGATCCTTCCAAAATCCCTTCCCTACAGATCGACCACACCATGCTGGGGTTCTCTGTCAACTACGTATATGCATCAAAGGCACTAAATATTGTTCTTGACGGAGCCATCACCCTTCTCCCTCTCAAGGAAGGTGATCAGCCAGCGTCACTGGAGGCAATGATCATGTATTCGTCAGAACAGAGCATGGTGTCTTTTAGTGCGCACGCAGCGCACATACCCATGACAGCTCTGCATTCTTTGTTCGCTGCTGGTGAAGAGAAGACACATGCGATGTCTATCCTGGAGAGCATTGAGCTGCAGCGCATTGCCTTCGATATTACGGCGGGCAAAGGCCAGCCGACTAGGGTCGGCTTTGAAGCGGACCTCAAGATCGCTAGTATTCTGCTGGAGACAAGATTCAAGCGTACGGATGTGAACAATTGGTCTCTTACTGCCAAACTACATGAAGAAATCACAGCAGTTGGTAAGGCGTCGAAGGAGTTCACACTCGGCGACGCTGTGCAGAAGCTCTTAGGTCAGGAAGTCCATGATATACTCCCAGGCTTTGTCACTGGAACAACGTTCAAAACGTCTAAACCTAAGGAGGACAAGTTCGACGTTGTCGTGACTCGTCTGAATGGTACAAATCCACATCTAGTTTTCGGTGCCGAGCTCCAGTTTGGCATGCTTCACGTCCAATTCGCTCAGCTGGTTCCTATCACCGGAAAGACTGATAAACCCTCACCTATCAAGAGACTGATACGCGTGTCTCTGGGACCTCTACCTTCTATCTCGAAGCTGCCGATCCTTGGAAACTTGGACATACCGTTCGATGCCCTTGAGTTCCTCTGGGTCAATACCATGTTCACACAGGGGGATATCAGTACACTGAACGGAAGTGCCCAGATGTTCCTTGACCAACCATTCAAGATGAGGCCCGAGGATAAAGAGTTGTCCGAAGGCTTCCACTTCCGTCTTGTCGGTAGCCAGGGCGTCTTCCTCGACCACGTCTTTGGCCAGGACAAGAAGGAGAAGAAGACAACTTCAACAGGTGCAGCCACTTCTGGTTCCAAGGCCACTCCTGCTCCAGTTCAAGCGAAGACGACATCCACAGAATCATCTGTTCCTAGCGGCGGTGCGCCAGCGACCACCGCTGCTCTTGCGAAGAAGAAAGGACCTCTCACTCTGTCGGGTATCTCGTTGTCTTACGAAGGCGGAGTCTTGCGCATACATCTTGATGCTAGTGTTCTCATCGGGCCAATTAGTGCTGGTATCCAGGGTCTCAACCTTGTTGTCAGACTCGACTCTAAGCAGATCCACGGACTCCATGATATTCTCCATGTGCCTATCGACGTCGAAGTAGAGGGTTTTGACATGGCATTCACTCGTATGCCGATCCAAATCGCAGGTGCTCTTCACCACAAGCCCGGCACTAAGGCATACTTTGGAGGCGTTGCTATCTCATTGAGCACCTTTTCTATTGCAGCACTTGGCTCGTATGAGCAAGTTCCAGCCAACGCCGCAACAGGTACACCAGAATATGATTCATTCTTCATCTACGCTATGATGGAGGGACTCATCTTCACTATGGGTTGGGCAGAGATTCGTGGACTAATGGCTGGCTTTGGCTACAACTCCCGTCTTCGGCTACCTACTGTGGAGCAGTTGTCCACATTCCCTCTCATTCAGGGATTCGACCAGAAGGGAGGTTTCAACATGGACCAGGCTGTTAAATCACTGACAGGTCCCGGTGCTTTCGTAACACCTAGCATGGGCTCCATTTGGTTGGCACTTGGTCTTGTCATCCGAGCTTGTGAGGCTATCGATATGCGTGCTGTTGCAACAGTAGCACTCGGACCTAATCAGACTGACATTGGTTTGATTGCTCGTGCGACTGCTACCCTCCCTCGACGTGCGAGCCCCGATAAGGCTCTTGTTCTCATTGATCTCTCTGTGGTTGGCAAACTCGACCTTGTCAATGGCGAGCTCTCAGTTGACGGTCTCATCAATCCCACTTCTTTCATCCTCAACAAGGATTGCCGTCCCTCTGGTGGATTTGCCATTAGAAGTTGGTTTGGTAAGAACAACCCACATTCGGGCGACTGGGTCGTTAGTTTCGGTGGTTATCATCCTATGTACCAAGTTCCAGCGCATTACCCTCGTCCACAGCGATTGGGAATCTCGTGGACCCTGAGCTCGAATCTTAGAGTCACTGGTAATGCATATGCAGCTATCACGCCAGGAGCCATCATGGCGGGAGGAATGCTCCAAGCAGTCTTCTCTGCTGGCCCTCTTGGCGCACACTTTGACGCCCACGCCGACTTCCTGGTTAACCTCAAGCCACTACACTATGTGGCAGACATGGCAGTATCTGCAGGCGTGTATTACGAGATTAGAGTCTGGCGCTTCAGAAAGAAGATCTCTGTCAATGTTGGAGCCTCTCTACACCTTGAAGGACCACCAATCCACGGCAAAGTTCACTTTGATCTGTCCGTAGTTAGCTTCACTGTCAGCTTTGGTTCTGGATCCTCTGAGGGTAAGAGGATTATCAGCCTACGCGAGCTTATGGAGCTTGTGCTACAGGAAGCAGGTGATAAACGGAAAGAAGACAATACCATTGTCAACCCTCATACATTCACAGCCGTGTCTGGTCTTCTTGGAGATGATAAGAAGAAGAGCGACACAGTTAGTAAAGCCTCTTCTAATAAGGTGGCTTCCGAGAAAGAGCGTTGGCACGTCCGCAGCGACAACTTCATCTTTTCGGTTCGAAGCGCGGTACCAACTAACTCTGTTGGTATTGAGGGACGCAGCGGCACTCAGTACAGTGGCAACTCCATCATTAGCAGACCTATGCAGATGAAGGAGGACACAAATGACTCTTTAAAGATCAAATCGACGTTTAGCGTCAAGGTCTGGAATCCCAAGGCACAGAAGATCGTTCCCTTCCGCGAAGTAGCCAAGGTTGAAGATCAATTGCCAGCCAACTACTGGGGCCCTTACTCGGAGAATACGGCAGACTACATGAGGCCTGATAGGATGCCCCCTAAAGTCTCTCATCTCGTCGGCGCGACTCTCGTCCCACCAGCTCCTTCTGCTCCTGAGCAGTCCATCCCTGTGTTCAAGTCCATGCCACAGAACCACGATGCTCCACCATGGAAACCCGAAAAGATCAAAAAGTCCGTTCGCTATCTTGATCATGCCAATGCTAGAGACAGTGTCAAGTGGTCTCGTGTCAAGGGCGCTATGGGCTTAGAGCCTGAAGCAAAGAGGGAGAAGCCTCCCATGGACACAATCCTCTTGACAGAGGCCGGTGCAGCAAAGGAGGCTGCTGCTCCTGAGCCCCTCTTCACTAAACCATACCGTAAAGGTATACTTGCCAGCTTCATCAAGTTGGCTCACAGTGGTACCGACGCGGAGAGCTTCAAGGTGCAGAAAGCCTACGAGAGCATTGGCGATAATGTGCCCGATGTCATCTTGAACGATCCACAGCGATTCTATATCGGTCCTCCAACAGTGTTTTGCAACTAAAGAGAGTTGCTGATTTACAGGCCATGTTTCAACATTCGCTTATTTCTTTCTGCTTTGCTTCTGAAATTGTATATATCCGCTACACTTGAGCCAGCTAGTTTCTCTCTGATGTATTTGAATCAATATCTGCGAAGTATCGAATCACTCAGCATGTGTCCCAGTCAATAGCAGCTATCAACTGTGCCTCTAAGCTCTCTGAACCGCGCCATAGATTGAGTATCGAGGCTACAACAAAGGCAACCGTGGTCTGACGGAAGCCTAAGCTCAACTCTTAGTAAAGTAGAGCAGGCTGCTGAGCAATCAGAATTGTGCCTTGTCAACCCAAGCAAACCCACCGGGTGGTCCAGACAAAGCGATGCTGCGCCGATAAACCGAAGGCAACATCTTTCCGTAGACCTGTGATCAATACTATTTGGTCTAGACCTGCATAGTTTACGATGAGATAGCACACATGTTTCAGCAAGCCTGGTTTCCTACACCCTGGTCGGAGTCTTCTCTACACCCGGGTGTGTGGCAACCCTTGAGCTGCAGCTTTTGCAAACTATCGATTTCTGGACCCATACACTGTAAGCAGCTTCTCCCTTGCGAGACATTCTGGTCAGTAAGGGTCTCGGCGTCTTGACATGCTGAGAATCTTCCCAAGAGGTACGGAGTTTGTTGCCACCATATCAACCCTCGAGACTTTGGCTTCTTGAACATCCGAAACCTCGAATGTTAACAACGCGACTTGTATGCCCAACTGGACATCTGAAATTTCACAAAACTGTCTTCCAAAGGATACACAACTCTCCTCAATTTGCATTTTCCTAGTCCGGGACTAAATTGCTTCACAAACTTCTTTCCCTGTTCGAAGTAGTCAAACGCGAAGAAGATGATGCACCTGAGGAGCAAAGTTTCGAAAAAGAAATACATGCATGAAATAGGGAATACAGAAGATGAAGCGACGGGGGGAAACTATTGGGATAGGGGATCAGATCAAGAGAGAATTGTCGTGGATAAGAGTACCTGGAACTCCAATGGATGTGAGTTTGACGATTCAAAACGGTCACAATCCTCCGACTGATGGTTCCATGAACAGGTTATCCCTTGGATAATAAACCGACGGACTATCAAAAGAAGAAGTTCGAGTACAAAACCCTAGAGGATGGTGAAGTTCTTCTGTATAACAGTACGAACCATCATCTTTGTTATGAAACCAATATGCTTATAAACATGCAGGCTTCATGCCCACTGGGCAGGTCTATGAGTTCTTACCATGTGCTCCTGGGCCGTCCCATGCTAAAACGGTCATCGGGTATAAGAAACATCGAGGGATGTATAAAATCATGGACATCGAAGGTGCACCCAAAGAAGGAAAAGTAAAGACTCTGCCACCGCGAACTTCACATACAAGGAGTAAATGGCTAACCGTATTTAGGAAGACTTCATGCCGTATAAGCTGCTACTGTATCGTGGCTACTTCAGGAAATCACCAGACCATGATGATGAGCATCGTTTTATATACCTTGCAGATCCCGATGCGGGCGACTGCTTCATTCGACTGGAGGAGATCCATAACCGTATGAAAGGGATCGAACGGGCGTATTTTGAAGATGGTAAAGCGGCCATTATGCGTCGCAATGCCCTTGAGGTCGCTAGATCTGGCAACGCCAGGGCAAAGAAAGAAGTTCCCGAAAACCCTGAAAAACCTAAAAAGCCTCACGAACTGGGCCAATTACTCAGGTTCCGCTGCTGGGCTGTCGAAGGTTTCCCATGTACTACTCATGAGTTAAAACTTAGCAACAGGCTTTTCCACAACCTCTTTGATGCCAACGACAAGTGGGATCATCTCGATATGTTCAAAGTCTGGGCAGGTAAGTCAAGCATTTGGCTGAAAACCAATGACGGACTTATTGATCTTACAGAACTATTGCGCAAGTCGCAGGGCGATAAACTAGCATCAAAAGACTTCTTTGGCCGCTACTGGGATGCTGTCATTCCCACTCCCGATAAGGCCTTGTTTGAGACTGGGTTCCTCATCGTTATAGATGAGAGATATCTTCAGTAAAAAGGCGCCGGTGACCCTGAGCGCGAAGAGATAAAGAAAGAGGTGTTCGCGGCCGTCAAGCGTGTTCTTGATGCGCCCCGCCTCAAGTTTAGACCTACCCTTACCATCAATAACATCGTGTTCTTTGATCAAAAAATCATACCCAAGGCTGAAGGCTGGGATAAAGACGGATGGAGAAGTCTTGAGCCGCACCCCGGGGGACTTTACACCATTTACGTCTCTCGGCCTGTTCGGGAGTTTCTCTGTAGAGATAACCATGACAAGCCGCTTTGGCAGGATAGATATCCTGCACCCCCAGAGAGGCGTGCTCATGATCTTAACGAGCTGCTAACCAATTGCAAAACAACAAAAACAACGACAACATTCACTTTCGTCGAACATGACTATGTGGTTGCTGCGAGGAAAGGCAAGAGAACGCCTACACAGGATAAATGTGTAGCTGCTAAAGGGTTTTCTGCTAACGCTGTATGTTATATTCTGGCAACATTCTATCCATCGTGGTATCTACAACGCTAACATCCTACAGGCCTTATCAAAAATATACCCTGAATATCATCCCGATGTTGCCAAAGCGAAGAAAAGAAGAGTCGCAGAGGTCTGTAGCCCCCTCTCCGGTTAGTCTAGGTGATACTAATAGTATCAGTGGTTACATAGGTCGGCTTTTAGCTACGGAGGAATCACCGAAGGAGACCTGAGCTCATCTCAGGTCCCTAACAATCTCGTTCTCGGCACTCCTGATACCAATACGGTTATGATGAGGCAAGTACATACGCAGTTGCCTCTTACACAGATGTACAATTCGCTGACATTTAACAGATATGAAGCTTTTGTCAAACGTCTTGCGTACTATTCCAACAGCGAGAAACACGCTCCAGTTCTCGTTGTAACGAAGGTTTGCTATCCTGCTCTGGCAGAATGGGACCATAACTGGATACAGGACGCTGAGTACACTTGGTTGGCACCTGAACTTTCTTACAACTACTGTAACAGCAGGAAGGAGGATAAGCCTGTAAGTAAAAGAATACGAGGAGGTATCATACTTCTTTCTAGTGCTAAAATGGCGGACAGCACGTTCATATCCACCGAAGATTACACCCTTTGAACCGCGAAACTTGCATGCTGTTTGAGGCTCTTCTGGATAAGTCCATGGAGAAAGCTTGCTGGAAATGGGATTGCTGGGATATCAATGCTGTCGCGAAAGCGCTTATAGAGTCAACGGCTTTGGGCGGAGACCAAGAGGGCCCGTTTGGAAAGGAAGATTTAAAGAGTCTGGTTAAAGAAGCTGTGCTTGATGACAAAGGGAATCCCTTGCCCGAGAACGATTTGGAGGCTGTGGTTCAGCAAGACCTGGATCAGCGACCTTGACCAATTTCATATCGGCCGGGAAAACAATTTCCAGGATATTTATTCATTATTTGCTTCCTAGTATCTTCATATGAGCAGTATTTGGCTCCTGCAGAACTCAACCAAGACTTTCCGCGGAAGACTGTGTGTTGTTATTGATACGTTACGAAGCTTTAAGCCGCGGAGCATTTCGCTTACGCTCTTCATCACTAGGGGCTCTTCAAAAGCGCTGTTACCTGGAATATTACATTACCAGTGACTGAAGTTCGGGTCCAGAGTGCGGAACTTTGTAAGGCTACGGAGAGATTGTTTCAGCCATCCTCGCACCTCACCCCGCTCGTGGCTACGATGGGGTATTGAAACAATGCATCGGTGAGCCCCGGATGTGACTATGACTGAGGCTTCTAGATTCATATCTTGAACGCGGAATTCTGTCTCGGGATTGGCACTGCTGTACCAAACGTTATCTCGGAAGACTTCCAGCGCTTTTACATTGGGCCTCCAACATTGTTCTGCAATTAGAGCTATTTGCTGTTTAATACGGAGTACGTCTGCTGGACTTAATCCACCTGAGCTTTGGTGAAATCTTACACCCCAGGTGTGTGGCGATGCTTAGCTGCAGCTGGCTGAACTATCGATTCTTAGACCCATGTCCGCATGAGGTCCCCTGAAAGATCACCGGGTACGGGGATGGCCTCGACCAGATGGGATCTTTTCACCGAGGCTTCTAGACATCTTTACGATGTAGAAACATTTGTGACCTTTGTTGAAAATCATCCTCAAACCTACATCGTGCTACAGCTTCCTTACGTTATCAGCTAACAAATGCCTCCACAAGCCAACAATCTATCTCCGTTTTCTGTGCAGTGCTGAATTACCTTCATCGTCTATTTCTACTTTTCAGACAAAATCCGCCATTTTCAGCTTCTTCCAATTGACTTCTGCTGCTTACACCATGAACCCCCAAAACAGACCCCGAAGCAATAGCGAATGGCAGGCAAACTACGAGCGGACAAGGCCGAAGAGCAACATAAGTAAACCACCGCTGACACGCGGAGCAGGGAGACGCAAAGGAGCGAAGTCCACGAGGCCGCGAACGTACCAAAATATACCTGTCCAAGACATTGATGCCAATGAGGTGCAAGACAACGGCTGTAGGTCAGGTACTTCAAGCTTATCTGATACTCAGGCTGATCTAGATATAAATAGGCTTCAAACTACAAAACCAGCCCAATGCCCTTCAAATGATCAACTACACCACACCGCAGCATACACCCGATGTATTCCTTCGTTACGATTGTATGGATTCTCTTTCCGACGAAGCAGTACGTGGGTTCCCTAACGTGAATATAGGCTTCATACCGGTCAGAGAAACATACGAATTCTTTCCATGTGAACCTTACGGTGGTGCAGAAGATATTCTGGGCTTCAAAGAATATCGTGGAGTTGATATGATAATGACGAAAACTGGTCCTTACAAGTTGCCAACTTTGCCAACTGTACGAACTCTTTACATTGTTGATCTGGCATTGGATCAGCTAATTGATAGCAGCATGTCTTTAAACCATACAAACTTATCCTCTATCGTGGCCGAAAAAACGCACAACCGGACGAAGATGATCACCATCGCTTCGTATACTTGGCAGAAAACAAGCCCAACGAGATGAAGGTAGGAGATTGTTTTATCCGGCTTGAAGAGGTTCACAACCGTATGAGAGGGGATGCGGCTCCTTTTATTGCTGATTGCGAGTTGGCTGTCGAATACGCCAACCAGAAAAGAATCATCGATGGAAATAGCCTCCAAGCAGAAAAGGATCTTGCCAGTGCCAGAGTCCAACAGCTTCAGCAACAGTTTGGCGGCGTGCTCAGATTCCGTTGTTGGACTGTTGAAGGACAGCCATCTTATGCTGATGAAGATACACTGTGCCAAAAGCTGTTCGATAACGTTCGGGGAATGACAACGCGTGATCATCTCGAGCTGTTTCGCGTTTGGGCAGGTAGGTTTTCCATCATCTCAAATGGCTACAAAACTGAGTGTGACGATAGAGCTACTCCGAAAATCGCAGGGCGATAAACTTGGATCTAAGGAATTCTTTGGACGTTACTGGGATGCTGTCATTCCTGACGTATCCAGACCGTTATTTCACGACGGAATGAAGATCTTGGTGTCCGCGACATATCTCAACTATCTTGGTTACAGTGACATTAATCCTCTGACACCTGTTAACCGGGAAAGGGTCAGAAATGATGTGCACGGGGCCGTTCAACGGGTGATCGATGCGCCAAGGCTCAAGTTCAAACCTCCCTTGCCCTTGACGAGCATCATATTTCCGGACGAAGAGCCATATCTACCCCTTGGATGGGATCTTAACCCGGATAATAACAGAAACTACAGGGAGTTATCCGGTAACGGATGGAGGACACTTGAGGCGCATCCCGGTGGTCTTTACAGTATTCTCATCAACCAGTCTGTCAGAGACTTCTTCCTGAACCTCACCCTCTACAAGCAACTTTGGCAGGATGGGTACCCTGTTCCTGACCAGACAAACGCCGAAGTTCTTCATGGTCGGCTGAATCAATGTCGGACGACATCCGAAACAGTTACGACAGTGGATAAGACCAACCTATCCGCGGCCTCTGCGAATCCTAAGCGGGTCCCGACGCAGGATAGATGCGTTGCAGACCCTGCGTGTTCTGCAAACGTGGTATGTTCTCCCCTAGTAAAACTTACCCTTGGTGCGAGTATCTGTTCTAACGTCGGCAGGCCCTATCAATGGCATATCCAGACATTTATTCTGACTCGGGCAAGGCGAAGAAGAAGAGAGTTGCAGAGGTACGCAGCATCGCCTCATATATTGACCTTCATAAAGAAGATTCTGACAAGCATAGTGGCTCCATAGGTCAGCATTCAGCTACGGAGGAGGCATTACGTCTGGTGGTCAGCTAAGCACACCTCAGATTCCTAATAATCTGGTCCTTGGCAGCCCTGAGACAAACACGCTTATGATGAGGTAAGTGAAATAGTCTCAACCCTTTGACCGTAGTACTGAAGTAGCTGACTTGAATCAGATACGAGTCTTTTGTCAAGAGAATCGTAGTATTCGGAAATAAGCGTAACGGTGATGTAGTCAAGGTTACAACAAACATAACCTACCCACATCTTGTAGGTTGGAATCAGGACTGGGTCGGCGACATTTTCCATCAATACACGTGGTTAGCCCCCGAGCTTTCCTATTCTTACGAGAATATGGTTCTCAGTAATCCTGTAAGTCAAAGCCTGCAAGGTATCATGTTGGGTGTCAAGTGCTAATAATTCATGGCTTAGCATATCTCCCAGCGCAGGCCTATATATCCTATGAACCGCGAGACAGCCATGCTCTTTGAGACCCTTCTAGACAAATCTATCGAGGAGAAGTGCTGGGGATGGGAATGCTGGAATAAGAATAGTGCTGTTGCGGATGCGCTCATGGAGTCAACGGTTGTCGATGGGGACCAGGAAGAATTGAACAAGAAAGACCTGGAAGATATGCTGCACGACGAGCTCAAGGAGCGAGATCCGCAAGTTTGAGCCATGTTGGACTCGATAGATATACATCATAACAAGTTTCTTAGGAGTGGAATTAAATCGATTATCTAATGCTGAAGAACGTATCCGGTGTCCCAACGCAATGCTACTAACTCGTGTTGATGTGTTTCTACAACTCTACACGCGGAGTATTTTGCCCGTAAGCTTCAACACAGATCAAATTATAGAGACTTGGTTACCTGCACGGCGGATCGGGAGTCCTAAGAGTCACACGGGCGGAATCGTTGGAGCTATGGAGGGATCTCTCAAGGCATGCACACACTACCAACTCACACAGCTCGTAATTACATGGTCTACTCCGTATCGAGGTGATAGACCGGTCAACCCCGAGTGTGACTGAGGCTTCTAGATCGGGGCATTGAGTGCGGAATGCTGTCTTTCCGGTGTCTTGCTGATATTGAGAGCTGGAAATATTGATTCCAGCCTTCAGTCGAAGCGTTGCTTTGATGGCGGGGTTAATTGAGAGGCGTCCCCGATATGTGCTGAAAAGACCCTGGGACTGCATTAGCGTAGTAATCTAGCGCCGTAGACGGAGCTAGGCTGCGCAGCACACTAACTTCAGGGGGTAAGCCCCTGTAACGCCGAAGGGAGCGCTACCGATGCCGCGTGTCTCCCACTCCCCACGTACTCCGTGTGCGATACTAAGCACAGTACATTGTCTCAAGAGTGAGACTTACACCCGATTGCTAGCCCCCTCCACACCCAGACCAGTCTAGACAGAACAAGATGCAGCTGGAAATGGAACTATCGAAAAATAAGCATGAATAGAGTGGCTGCGTTACGAGGAATTGGCTCCGATGCCTGTTTCGATAAAGCGATGCAAGTGACTGGCCTCTTCGCAGCATTGCGTGCGCATGCTCATTCTCCATTCCCCAGTCCATTCATTCACTTCTCGCTTTTTTCCTTCAAGAATTCTACCATCACATTTTAGTCTACAGAAGTCGAGATATCACCAAGAGCTCAAGTGACTGAGGTTGCAGGACAGCAACAGAGTCGTCGCGATGCTGCAATCACCTCGTAAGTAACCATGACTGACCCTCAATTGGCATTGAGCACAGCAATTGATGCTAACTCTTATGGCAGAAGCAGAAGAAGTTGCGCCGCAGCTTCCAAAGGCTGCAGAGCCATTGGTAGACATCACAGAGCTTGGTCCAGAGTCACCCTCAGAAGGCTCTGAACACAGTGAAGAGCATGTCCAGCCAGTACAAGATTCGCATCTCGTCTTTGACGACGAGATCGACACTTCCGAAGCAGACCTCACCATCGACACTGTCCTAGACAGGCGTCTACAAACGAGACCAGCACCACTACGTCCCCAAGGTCGCAGATCGATCTCAGGACAACAGAACAGAGACGTGAGCCATGGATCTCAAGGCTTTGACAATAGCCTTGTCAAGAATGATGCCGACAGCACCACGATCCGAAGAGTTCACATCAGCTTGCCAAAGCGAAACAGTCGCAATGACTCGCAACCTCTATCTACGAGACGCACAATGTCTACTGAAACTACAACTACTTCAGGTAGTTTCATCGGGCGACGCGCTGTGAGCAGTCAGTCCAACAAAGCACTTTCCACAGAAGATCGCATGGTTAGAGCTTATAGTTCTCTGCGAGAGCTGCGCATGACATGCGCACTCCCTGCTTCTCGAGAGCGCGTTACAATCCATCACGTCTTTGACCTCATTGACAAGACGCGCATGAGACTTGTGCCTCATCAATGGAGTCTTGTCGACAGACGTCTTAAGCAAGTCCAATCTTCAGCCGAGCGCATCGCCGATTTCGTCGCGCTGATGAAGAATCATGGATCTGATGCTGAGAGTGTCGCTTCCATGTTCTACTCCAGCTGCGAGCTTGCTCTTTCAATGCAGGGAAAGCTTTCTAGTGCTAGCACGGCGCTGGATAACTTGCTTGCTGTCTTCCACCGAGCCAGTGTTACAATTCAGCATGTGAGAGCTTCGGTGCCTGAGGGCATTTCATCGGATAAGCTTTATAGTTGTCTGTCCAAGGTGCTTCAGTCATTGCAGCAGATTTGTTTGGGATTTATTGACATCTTGGATGATATCAACAAAGGTGAGTCCTCAACGCTACCCTATTTCGTGTTATCTCAGTATGCTAACGTCTCTGTAGCCGGCTCCCGTACCTCGTCGTCGCTTATCCTTCAGATCGAACAATATTTTGAGGCAGACCTGGCTTCATTGTCCCTGGCTGCGCATTCAGCGTGCGAGGAACTTTGGATACTGTCGCTCAAGGACAGCTCTCTTGGTACCTGCCATGGGCCCGTGGAAGACTGGCTGAATGGTAGTGGCCATGGTCATTGTAGCCATGGCTTCTCTCGAGGCCACCATGGAAGCAAACATGGGCATTCCTTTGTCTTCGATTGCGTTGAGCCCGTTGTCGTTCAGTTCTTCAAGACGCCCTCCAGACTATTGCTTGTCGCTGGAGACGCTGGCTACGGAGAGCAAGAGCTCGTCTCCAATATCATTGAGCGCTTGCAGTTATCTCTATCTCTGGATGCAAAGCTACTCCGCGCATCAGTTACTTCAGCAACGCAGGGTTCTTCGTCCGTTCGTCTGCTAAAAGCACTGCTTTTCCAGCTTCTCGACCAGTCTATCGGCGACACAGGCTTGCTTGATGCTATCAACACTGTTAGGAAGCGCAGCGAGACCGAGTCAGCGGAGAAGACAGAAGACTTGCTGTGGGAACTTCTCAGTGACCGCTGCTCCAAGGCCAGCGGAAACGTTGCCATTGTGATCAACACCATTGACAGCCATGGAACGGATAGCTCCTCCAAGTTCCTCGCCAAGCTTCAAGCTCTAACTTCCAAGTGCGAGAATATTCGTTGTCTTGCATTGGCTGATGCCGATTCAGCGAGATCTATCTCTGGCACTCAGATCTACACTCTGTCTCGAATGGATATCCGCAGAAATGCGCGCTCTTTTATGCAAATGGCGCTCTCTACATCAGCCATACTGTCATTCCTCTCGGCTGAAATGAAGAGGGAGCTTCAGAAGCATATCGCAGAACGCCAATGGACGTCGCTTCTGGAGGCTAAGCTCATCCTCCGTCTACTGGAAGCTGAGCATGATCTTGGTCGTATGACAGACATCATCTGCAAGACACCCAAGACTGTTCAAGGTATTCTTGACAGCATGCTTCTCAAGATTGACTACTCCAATCCCGATATGCAGTCTCTTCTCTCGTGGCTTCTTGTCGGAAAGCGACCTATTCAGGTTGATGAAATGGAGCGATATGGCTCTGTCACTATGAGCAACTGGCTCAGAAGAATCCGTTCCGGCCGGTCCGTGAGCTCCAACTCTCCTCTTGCCAGCATCATCACCATTCGCAGCGGTCGCATTCAGTTTGTCGATTCTGTTGTCCAAGCCAAGATGCATCATCTTGCTATACATGGCAAGATTGCTTTGTCGCTGAACTTGGCTCATCGACGGGTCGCGATTGACTGTCTTGAGCATGCGAAGAAGCACCTTCAGCAAGACAAGGTCGATATCGTCTTTCAGAACGTCTCGCAGACTCAATGGGCTACTGCACCTTCGTACAAGGACTTTGACCCGCTCATGGTTTACGCCGCCAGAAACTGGTATGAGCACTACGAAAAGTCTCTTTCATCTTCCGAGAAGCTCTCGCGACATCTCCCTGCTGATGTATCTTCGAAGATGTCTGACTCAGTCTTGATGGCCTTGGCTGAATGGCACTTCCTACGATCCGAAGGCGACAGCATCACTACAAACAAGCAGTTGACTAGGATTCTTTCCCTGCGAAAGGCCGCTTTTGGTGCGAATGCCAAGTCCGTGATTCAAACGTTGATCAATCTTGCCCATTCGGATCTTCGTCATACCGTCAGCATTGAGCGATTGGTGGAAGCCTTTGAAGCAGCCATTCTCACCTTCGAAGACCCAAGCCCCCAGGCCACTGCTGGTGCCAAGTACATCATATCCCTGGTCAAACCGCACACGACGCTGTCTTCCAAGAGCTCCAAGGTCTACAAGTACCTCTGGCGTGTCCTGAGGGCTGAGCTTGGAGAGAGTCACGACCAAACGCTTGCTGTCGCTCAGAGGCTCGCGGAGCTATACAAAGCGGAGATGCGGTTCGCTGAGGCTGCTGAGATTCTGCACGATATGTATGTTGCGTGCTGCAGAACTAGGGGCCTCTTCGCAAGCAAGACTCTTGATCTGTTCCATGTGCTTATTGATGCGCTTGAGCACGCTGATGATATGGCTGCCGCGCAACAGCTGTGCCAAGATGTCTTTGATGCTGCACCCACCTTAGAGACGTGGACAGATGCTGCGCTCTCCGCCATTACCCGCATTGTTCGACACTACCAGGACCGCGGTATGTCGAGCGCTTCCAAGGGTGTGCTGCAACAGTTATGGAGTTTGCTTCAAGGGCAGCTGAACAAGGAGAACAATAACCACGGTGCTATTTTGGTAGCATTCACCTCTGTAACTCTGCAATTGGCTACAAAGCTGCGCGACTTGTCTCTTGAGAAGGAGGCTAGCACGACGCTGGTATCATTCTGGACTTCTGTCTCTAGGTTCGTGACTACCGATCGTCGGTGCGAAGTGACAACGCTGGTCAACCTGCGAGAAATCGCCCAGCTTCTTCTCCGACTCGAGAAGAACCAGGAAGCACTGAGCATTCTTCGAGTTCTCTATGAGATCCACCAACTACCCTCTCATGACCACTTTGACGAGATGCTACAAGTCTACTCTGCTCTTATTGTCTGCTACAAGGGTGTCAAGAACCCCATCGAAGACTTCTTGTGGCTTAACATCCTTGACAGTATTCTCCACAGCACCCACGGCCATGGAGATATTGGATCCGACACGGTCTTTCTATGCAGGGATCTAGCTCATTTGCATCGCTCGCGCAAGGAGTGGAAGGCAGCTATAAGCATCTGTCGCAAGAGTCTCGAGGTCCTCTGGCCACAAGTCCTTATAGATGGAGGAAAGCTGCATCTTCCCAAGACCTTTACTCGCGAGCGGGTTGAGATTGCGATCATCATGGCTCAGATGTACAAGTTAACTGAGCAAGTCACTCAAGGAGATGTCTTGATCCAGTCCATCGTCAAGTGTTGCAAGTCAAGCGTGCTTCTCTGGCAGTCTTCCAGCCAAGACATCGCCCTGATCCTCTCTGGCGCTCTTGAAGATGCCGGTTTGCATCTTGAGGCTCTGGAGTTTTGGAAATCTATCGTTGGTGATTGCAGGACTCATTTGGGTCACTCTCACTCATTCACACTTCACGTCGCTGCTGCGATTGTCCGTCTCAGCCTCCATCTCGGCACTGTCATTGAAGATGACGACGACATTTGTGATTGCTTCGATGAGGAGCCTGATGAGGATGATGTCGCTTCAATCATTGTCCTTATCGAAGGTCTTCTTGCTCTGTGCAAGAGCCAGAGAGGCAAGGGCAAGCGAGAGAGCTACACGATTCTTCTCCGTCGCTATGAGCGTCTCTGGTCATACTATGCTGACCTAAGGCACCATGTTTCAATGGACGCTGCTCGTGGATTCGAGATCTACATTGGCTACTCTCAAACACTACTCTCCGTTGGCAGCGTTTCCATCGCTGTGCGCCTGGCTCGTAAGCTAAGGACCATTATGCTGTCTGATCTCGGACGGCAGGATATTTGGTACCTCAAGGCTTCGCTTGAACTGACAAAGCTTCTCGAGATGGATGACACGACTCTTCGTGAGGCTGTCGATATCTACGATGAGCTGAACGAGATATGCCTGGGTCTGTCCGGCTCGGATGATGCATTCATCGAGATTCTACGCATCATTGAGGAGCGATTGAGTGTTCTCATGTCAAGCAAGCCTCTTCTCCACGACAGAGCAGAGATCATCCTCATCAAGTCTTGGAGGCAATGTGCAAAGAAGCACGGCTACGGTCATGAGCGCAGTATCTCCAGCTTAAAGAAGGTCATCGACTTCTGGGTAGTGAACCTCACTATTGAGAACAAGAAGCAAGCCACAGTGACCTTGGAAGAGGTCATTCTGGGAGTTTTGAAGAAAGAGACAAACCCACGAAGGTTGTTCCATCTTGCAGAGCACTTCAGCGCAATGTACAAGCTTCTTGGTGTTAGCCATGGAAACTTAACCTTCTTGCAGACCATTCGCTCCGAGATAGCACGATCGCAACAACCTCAAGGTCTCTGCGGACAAGCATACCTCGAGAACAAGCACAAGCGTTCTGTGACTTATGACCGAAGATGCCTGGTTCTTGTGTATGCTATGGAAGAACTCTCCAGGAAGAAGACAGAAAGCCTTTTCGGTGACATCTTGACGCGAGTCGTTGCCGAGACAGCGCTTTATGAGGCGTGGCTCCGAGCAGGTCAGCAAAATGATCAGCTTGGCAATCTCCTGACAACTGGTTCGCGATTGATCCAGCATCTTGAAGCTTACCATTTGCGCTCCGAGGCGAGTGGCATTCAAGATGAGCTATGGAAGTTGTTTTGCCGCATGCTGGATCGACCAGAGGGCAAGGGTAGCTCAACATATCATCTCTTCCAAGCCATCCTCGCTTCATCCTCTGAACAAGACATCTCTGCATCGCTGTTGGAGGACGCCTTCGGACTTATCCAGCAAATGGGAGATGCAGGCTCTCACAAGGCATGCTTCTACCTGTCCCAATGGGTGTTCGAGTACAGTGAAAGTGGAGCAGATAGCGACGATAGCTCCTCGGCGCTGATACTTCTCAAGTTGAGTACTTTACTCTACAAGATCTCAGAGATCGAAGGCGATGTTTCTCTCAGTGGTCTCATCGAAGAGCTGGCGACACAGCTGGGAGTACTGGCGATGAGCTACACTTCTGACATTGACTTGAGCGTCCTGAGTGTTAGCCATCTCACATGCATTCTCAGCATCGCCGGCAAGCAGAATGATTACATCACTCTCAAGGTTCGTAATCCCCATCCATTCGGGATATCTCTACTAACTAGTCCACAGCGCATCCTCGAACTCTTGTGGAACTCTCGCGATCACTATGACTTCAATCTCGAGCCTACCACCACCATCGCCATTGGTAAGCGACTAGCAGAGGTTCATTTCGCCTGTGGAGAGCACAACACGGCGTTCACTCTCCTTGAGGATATCAGCTATAATCTCAAGGATGTATACGGCGCGAATCATCCTATGGCAATGAGCTGCATGCGGCTTTTGGCATCCATGCATGAAAGTCTGGGACACCGCACATCGGCTATTGACGTTAGATTCCTCATGCTCAAGGACGCTGCGACATGGGAGGACGACTTGACCTCTCCAGGATCGCAAGATGAAGCCGTTGCCTTCTACTTAGATCAGCTTCAATTCTTGAGGAGCGGGTATGCGACCGTTGGGCAGGATTACTCCTGGCATCTGGAGCAGAACATGGACTACCTCGAGGAGATCACCTCCAAGGTGAAGCAACTGATCTCGGTGTCTTCCTCTTCTTATGATGTGGGAGATATCTTGGACCTTGGAGCCTGGGTGGGCTTGGATGAGATTGAGGTGAATGAGGATGCATTGGATGTTTGGTGCGCGCCTGAAGATTGGAGGGTTGAGATGGGAATGGAGGATGATGGTGATAGCTGTGCTTATTCTACTTCGTCGACAAACGTGTAATATGGGGTCTATTTGGTTGGAGTATGGTATTCTTGTCTTTTACAATTTATTTTAACGTACTCATGTTCGATTATGCAGCGAGAAATATTATTTACTGCAATTAATCGGTGTCGTTGGATGTCATATTAAGACATCGATCATTCGGAGCTCCACGTTCTATAACCGGCCCCGCCGTTCACAGCCGGGTGCTCCGGTTGCGGAATCCCCGGACGCGGAGAAGGATCTCCGTCCTCGAAGTATATAATAACGTCAACGAACAGTTGAACCCTCTGGCACCTACATCCTAAAATCACTTCACAATCTCAAGCCATGTCTCAAAATCAAGAATTCAGCGAAGGTTTCAAAAAGGGCCTCAAAGTCCGTGGCGAGGTGCTCGGCGAAGAATACGTCTCCAAAGCAGTCGCAAGTCTCGACAACGAATACTGGAAACCCGCGCAAGAGCTCATCACAGAATATGCATGGGGAAATGTATGGACTCGGCCTGGCCTTGATAGAAAGCAGAGAAGTCTCCTCAGTAAGTAATGTGATTTCCTATATCAAATTACAATATCTGACAGTTTTATAGCTTTGGCGTTTTTGACGGCTCAAAAAGCATGGCCGGAATTGACGCTGCATACCAAGGGAGCCATGCGGAATGGTTTGACGGAGATTGAGATTCGAGAGGCGATTTTGCAGTCGATGATTTATCTTGGTGCTCCTGTTGGGCTGGAAGCGATGAGGGTTACGGAGAAGGCTATCAATGAGTTTAAGGCGCAGGGTGGAGGAGAAGCCAGTGGCTCAAAGGATGAATGAGCTAATGAATACAATTACTCAAGTTATCTCATATCCATTCACTCTTGAATCGCCAAAATGACTCGACTGTATCAACAAGGCGATGACTTCCCTTGTTCCATGCGGGTTAACGGAAGTAGCACGTGTTCGACCCCACCAGATGCCATCACCTTATTTACCCCTCCTCATACTTAAACATCATACTCGTATCATATACCCTTCCCTCAAAAAATCTTATTCAAAATGGCTTCTAAGATTCAAAACGTAACGGAGTTCTCATACGTCACCCTCAACGAGGGTGTCAATGTCTTTGATGAATCAGCTGCGGCAAAGACTTATCAAAATGTGCTTGAGACTGCGTTGAAACAACCTGGTGCTCGACGAGTTTATACTGGTGTTGAGGTTGAGAATCCTTCTACACTATGGCTGTTCCTTGACTGGGAGACTTTGGAGGATCATGAGAATTATCCCAAGACCGCGTAAGTTGATACCCGCTTTATCTTTTGAAGAGTGCTAATACCCTTCAGTGATCACGGCCCTATCATTGAATCTCTCAAACCCATCGTGGACTTTTCAAAGTCTATCAACAAACACGTCACCCTAACTCCCTTCCCCCCAGAAGACGTCCTCAGCAAAGACTGCTCCCCCGTGACAGAAGTCCTGCTAGCATTCTTCCCTCCGGACTACGACGTCGCATCCCGCGCCACAGCCACCCGCCGTCTCGAGGAGTTTACCGGCGTAGCACTCAAGACATCCCGCGACTGGCGCGGCATCAGCTACGGATGGAGTGTTGAGAACGACGTGCCTATCCGAGGAGAAGAGGGTAAGACGGGGAGTATGCTTGCGGCGTTTATTGGATGGCTGAGTGTTGAGGCGCATCAGAAGTTTAGGGAGACGGATGATTTTAAGCAGAATATTGGCCTGTTGAGGGAGATCCCGGGGTTGGTGAAATTAGCTGCTTTTCACGTTAGTTGCGTGAGTAAGGAGGCGGAGGGGTTGAGTGAGAGGGATGCTGAGAAGGCTCATGAGCATAGTCATGATCATGGTGGCGGATGCTGTTAGTTCTGTAGACTGCGTACTATGTTATTTGTGCAACTAGAAGATGTGAAACTATAGAGATGCCACTCTAGATCACGATTTCTACACCTAGCCCGTTTGTCACAACTGTCAAAATATTCCATCCTGGATAAGGGATGAATATATCAATATCCTTCCTAGCTCATGCAAGATTCAAGAGATAGCCAAGAAATACTCCGATATGTGTATTATTCTTAGAGTAAGTAAACAAAATGTCCGTATTCGCCTTGCTTTTATCTTCTCATATATCCTATCTCGTTGGCTCAAAGGCCGGGGTATCAATCGTATTCATTACCCATATATCCCGTTATTCCACGACAAAATCTCCCCCCTCTGTAAACTCATTATGCATACTTAACTCCTCGAACTGAGCAGCCAAGTTCCTGATATGTCCATCACCAGGCTTCGAAGCCTCAAGGTCGAAATCCAAAACCCAGCTTCCAAACGTACCACTCTCATCTTTACCAGGCGGCGCAACCTGCTTCGGCGCTTCCAAAGCACGCACGAGCTTATTCGCTTCAGCAGCTGTCATGCTCCCGTCCCTCATCGCCATAGCCAATAGACCTTTTCCAATTGGTTCACAGACTGGGAAGCAAGCACCTAGATCTTGACACGCGGCGAGACAGACGAGGAAGTAGAAGTGCCAGTGTGCCTCTTCGTTACTACCGCGACGTCGGTGCTTTTTGCCGAGGCTGGGGGCTTGGATGGAATGGTTGCGCAGGGCAGCGTCGCGAATTATGGTGTTGCTGACGTGCACGACTGCTGAGCTCAGAACGCTGAGAGAGTGGGCGTGGGGATGGTAGAGGCGGCTGATGAGGATGAGACGTTGGAGCTGGTTTGTTGATGCTCGCAATGCTGCTTTGGGAGACTTCAACAGCGCAGGGTTTAGGTTCTGATTGTTTGGGTCCATGATGAATGTGTGAAACAGGTGCGTGATAGCAACATGCAGTAGAATGCTGTATATCGTCAGTCACTTTCTCTGATTACGGGGCTCACAACTTACTTGAACGCCAAAACATGATCAGGCATGTTTCTCGGATCAATTGACGACATCTCCGGCGGCAATGAATCAGTAAAGGTCAATATCTTCTGATACTTAGCCTCCACAAACGCCAAAGGGATCCTCATCGAAGCAGCAGCAGTATCACCGTGATGCGCAAAGTAAACCGCTATGACCTCCTGCATTATAGTCCAGAGCTCACATAACGCTTGAAATGTTTTTCCTGCATAGTCAGGGATGAAGTGTGGCGGCCAGTGAACTGCTAACCTTTCATCTATCGTGTTCTCGCTGCTCCGTCCGGGGACGGGGAACATTGGTGGGAAGGCTATGGGTTTGGTTGGGACCCAGAATGTGTTTAGTCTGAGATGTTAGTGGGACGTCAGAATGGGGGGGGAGGGTACCTACGTCAGGTAGCTGTATGCTCCCCAGGCTGTGTGAGCCATCGCGCGTTTGGTGTCGGGGTCTAAGCTATCGAACGATGCTGCGTTTTGTGGTGTGTGCGGTATACCGAAGAGCTTTAACCGCTCCGCCATTGCGCGGCCATCGTCGAGAAGATCATTGCTCGAAACACTGGATTGTTCAAGATGACAACTGACACTAAGCATGAGAATGGCAGCAACATTTACTAATGAGTCGGAAGATCGCTCGGCGCGCCATAATACGCCAGCATCTCTCATAAAGTCCTGGCTTAGAGCGCCGACAGCTTCGTCAATCACGGAGTAAGCTTGCTATGGTGGATTAGGATCAGCTAAGATGATAACATGTGGCGAGTGGCAACCTACACAGGCGTGGGCCAGCAGGGCATTCACCAGGAAGGGTGAGCAGTATTGATGGCGGCGATGAACGAGGTCGTGTATAAAAAGGTCGGGGTCGAAGAGCCCGAATATGGAGTGGTTGCCCTGCAGGTATAGTGAGATGGCGCTGGCAGCGACTTCGTCGTCAATAGACACGCCAGTCCAGTACCCAATCTGCAATTGGTGTAACCTCTCATCGCAATACTTTTCCCGATGAGGGCCAGCGACGTCTTCCTCTTGTTTTATGCGAGGACGTTCAAGTGATTGGGGATTCGGTGTAGGTACAGACTGTTCATTGCTAGATGATGTCGACGGGGACATCGTGTCAGACGGCGATGACCCATCGAGCAAAAGCCCTTGAGATGAGCGCTGAACGGGTCTCAATCTAGGATCGGCGCTCAATGACGGTAGGTCCAGGGGAAACAAGGTAGGATACGCCATGCCATGCCGGACCGTCAGCTCAAACTCAAGACCTGACGACGTCGGCGGCGATATGGCCTGCGCAGTCCTTAGACCGGAGGGCTGAAGCCTGCCATGCATACTCCCCTGCAATGACGACAATGCATCGGAAAGGTTACTCGAACTTCTAAGCTGTCTATGTGCAGCGAGGGCTTCATCATCGGGAAGCGACAGCAAGAACTCGAGAATATCACGATGCTCTCTGAGTTCACGCTCGACATTGCCGAGGTGGTCAACGCTGTAGACGCACTCGGTTCCCCATCTCTCGCACTTGGAGCAGCTTGGTCTCTTACCATCACACTGGGTACAGCATCAGCAGTGGGTCAGACATGAGGTAGGTACTATACAGGAACTTGGGTACAGCAGGCAGGTATTTAGAGAAACATGGGGTGACTTACACGGGCTTTTTTCAGGCGGCAGTTCTCACAGGCGTTAGGCCTGTTGGCCCGCTTCCGCCTAGCAACCCGTGTATCTTGTTGATCCTGACCCCCAGGATCACCCGAAGTATCAGGTGCAGGAAGCAGAGTCTTGTACGGCATGACGTTAAAACGCCCCCCCGCCCCGTCAGTGTCTCCCAGTTCCGCGGCGGTGGTATCTCGTTTAGTTTTAACGAACCGATCTCGCCGTCCAAGGGTGCGATAGTCCCCTGGACGTGCACTTCCCTACAGGTACATTCAGCCCGGTCTGTCTTAGGCGTAGGACTTTGAATGCGGAGTGTGAGTTTTCGCTGTGTACAAGGGGGCCACTAAGGCAATATCTCGATCGTGGAGTTGACAAGCGTCCCTGAGGATCGGATCGGTAAGCCAGAGACAGGTTGAGATATTTTCCCATGCTGGGATCTGATTCGACGGAGGGGATGCTTAGTCTTGTTTCTGACATCACCCAGGCAGCCTCTTTTCCACGCTTTGCTGTTTGGGGAAAGGATCAGGCACATCGGTTATGACTCGGGTTTAAGACGTGCTCGATGGAACCCAAAGACTTGGAACAAGAGACAACGAAGCCATTCTGATTCGACTGTAGATGCTATTAAAGTTATGATTTGTGCGGAATTTTTGTATCTAACAACAAGTCACACATTTATTCTCTCACATCATGACAGGGACATGTGTTCTGAACTCCACGATAACCGAGATCTTAAGATCCGCAGATAAGCTCTAGGATCATTCGATACGATTACCCCATGCACTTCACTAACTATTTTCAACCTTCACGGCCACTTCATTGTCTTTTGATGCTCTAGTAAGCTATTGATAAATATAGGTATCTCACTTTTCTTCAGAACATTGACCAATCTTTTCTAGGTAATGTTAAAAATTGCTGGTAAATGACTAGGTCCAGAGAGAAACATCGTCAGGATATCTCAATGGTGCCATATTGCCTATCCCTTTAAGTCCGAGGGTACTCACATTATGTGCCTAAAAGGCTATAACCAATTATATCAAGTATCATAGGTACATCTGTTTAGGCAATAGCTAGGTGTAGATTCAAGTACCTCTGGTGATATAGCTTATAGGCTTTAACTTCTATCCCTCCTGCTGTACCTCTTTGAGGCTGGTATATGTGGCATATCAATCGGCAGCCAATTGAATTTGGAGCGTGCTCCACAAGCGTAACATGAAGTGAGCACCCTCAGACTCAAGGGATACATGTAAGAACTCGTAATGAGAACCTCAGTATCAATATCCAGTATGAGAATGCACGAGACACGTAACTCTCACTCTTTCATTTTCACCACCTACAAACCAGGTCTCAGCGTCCTTGTCTACATGACCTCACCATGCCAAGAGTTATCTTGTAACAGACATGAACAAGAACTATCAAGTCCCGATCTAGACCCATTAGCTCGTCAGCTACTCCCAAATTCCCGCTCCATCGCGAGAATCCAGTGGCCTTATCTCTCGATGATCGAAGACATATCTCGGCTCAACCCGCAAGCTCAAGAATAAAACGCCGGTTCAGGTACACACAACTCTATATCCTCGGAATCACAAAACAATTATGCTTAGCCTTTATGCATCAGGAAATTCTAATCGTGATATCCTTGATCTCACCTGTTTCACCACCACAAAACGTGGTTGAGGTGAGACATTATCATCTGCATCCAGCCAGTGGGTCACCCGCAAGCAGCATCTCATCCGCATTCATCACCACCCCCAGATAAACCACATCAAGGATGTTAATAGCGTTTCCCATGGCAATAAAGCCATGAACCACCCTTCCGAGACCAAACACCGCCTCTGTCTCGAAAAAATGACATTTTGTTTTACCTCCAAACTCACCACGGGCTCACTCTCGTTCAAGCCTTGAAGGCTTTACTCACATCATGGCAGCAGTCGAGCTGTACCATTATCATCCTTCTTTTATTCTCTCTCTCGTTTCTCTCGGTTTATTCTCTGCTTCGACGGTGGTGTGTTTGTTGCAGATGATACGATGTAGGACTTGGTTCTTTATTCCGTTCCTTTTGGGCTGTGCTGGTAAGTTGAGCTTATTCTTGGGTTGAAGATGATGGAGTTTTAGTAACTGGAGAGTACTGACTTTGTGTAGTCGAAGCTACTGGTTATGCTTTTCGTGCTGTATCAGCTTCTGAATCACCAGACTGGACTTTCGTTCCTTATGCTATTCAGACCTTTGCGTTTCTTTTGGGTCCAAATTTGATTACTGCGAGTATCTATATGATTCTTAGCAAAATCATCATTGCTCTGGATGCAGATATTTATGCACTCGTTCCGGTC